ATCCATGGCTTGAATTTCTTCTTATTCTTTACTACTGCAAATGTCAGTCTTGTCAAAATTTTAATTTATATTAATCAATTTTGATAAATCTTACCAAAAAATTGGATTTGTTTCAAAATGTTTCCCAGCAGATGAAGAATTCCATATTCCTTACTCTGCTGATTATAACTTTAAAGACCAAAAGTATGAAAATGTCTTTATCAAACAATGAAACATGCATCTGAGAACAGTTTAATGAAAACTGGCAAAAGAGTACCCGTGTTAAGGATAATTGCATAAAGAGGATGTCTGAAGTTTGCAAAAAGCAAAATTAGTATTTAAATAAGAAATTCAATACCGGAAAATAATTCACTAAACATATACCTCTCCATAACAAAAACCATACAAAGACTGCATTGTATTCAATTTCCATTTAATAATAAGGAATAATAGTTAATTTTAAACACTATTGTGCATCAAACAAATACCAGATATTGAGCAAAAAATCAGAAAGTGTTATTTTGCTTAACATCACCTTCCCTCAAAGGATTCATAAAAATGTACTTAACAAGTGACTGACATGCTGAAAAAACTGAAATTTACAAGTCAGTCCAAAAATTAAGATAAAATAATGGGTTAACTAGAAAGTTCCGCAGTTTTTCAAATCCAAGTGCATTTTCTTCTAATTATTTTATTGCCGATTATAGGGAGTGACCCTGATCAAAGCTAGTGCTTAACTATTGTTATAAATTCTGAATTTAGTTAGATTTTTGTTAGCAGAATTATAATTAAAATTGTCTTATTTCCTCGTGCAATGCAGCGCAGGACAAATTTTAAGAGAAAGCTACAGTGAAAAAGTAAAACAACAAAAGCATTTAACATTGAATAAAAGTTTATATCTGTAATTGATATTTAATTTGAATAAATGTAACTGACTACTACGTTAGCTGTAACAGTAGTTCTACTCTTTTTGCTTTCCAGAAATTGTTAGAACTATCTCACGCAGCCGATTTAAAAATCTATAAAAAAAGCCAGAGACGGAACATTTCATCTCAGTTGCTTTACTTAGCAGCTGTAATTTTTTGTTGATGAGATTAGCTATCTCTGCGCTGTGGATTATGTTCTATTTAAGGTTTGAATAGTTTAAAGCATAACTACTGATTACATTGTGTGATACTGTATGAATATCTCTGAGGCAAATTCCAGCTTTGTTATATTTCTTGTGAAAAGAATAAATTTTATTAACTTTATTTAATCGGACTTCTGCATTCAATCTATTATGAACCCGTACGCACACAACAATACAGTATTTTCTGCTCACACTGTGCAATTCTGGCATGTATTGAAGCATCATTTTTGTTTCAATGAAGTGCTAAGAATGGAGAACTAAGAAGTTCATTTCTGTTATATAATGCTCTTCTGCTTTAACCCTTTCAGGACAGATACGCATTCCTTAAGATCATCTCTTACAGCCGGGCGTCCTATCCATGCATCACTAGAGATTGCATTCAGAGGACGGGTGATGCATATACGCATTTTAAGCTGGAACGTTTTTCTGAAGACCACTAGATGGCATCCTATGTCCATTACTTTTGAAATGAACACAGTTTAGGTTCCTGACCTTGAGTCTGATATATTCTGCCCAGAGTCGTAGCTAGGGTTTTCAGCACCCAGGGACAACTGAAGATTTCGTGCGCCCTACTGCTTGCCAAGGGTGGAAAACATTTAATTCTAAAATGTCGTAACATCAGTTTGGCGCCCCTTGGATTCTGCACCCGGGGACAGATGTCCCCCTCTAGCTACGCCCCTGATTCTGCCTGATTTTCGTATTTTACTCATTAACTGTTGCGAAGGTGGTGGTGGTGGGGGGGAAGGGAAAGCATAAACAGAGGTGGACTCTTTAAATCGCAGCATGCTAATACAGTAGAATTCCAGAAATCCGCAAAGCTTGGGACCAGAGGTTGCACGGTTTTGTGATTTTACGAATTTCAGGACAGAAAAGATAAATCATAATATTCAGAGTAAAAGTGCAAAATAAATAAGGCGTATTAGATACATTTAATTAAACTATTATAAACATTATTGCAATAACTTATTATATGCATTAAATTATTATTACATATATAAATTGATTATATTATTCATTGTAATATATATACACAGCATCGAGGTTTGCTGATTTCGCCTCATGCACAGATTTGCGGTTTCGAATTCCGGTGTTAGAATCACTGTTGCTAATAAATTTCAACAGCTTTTCTTTATTTTTCTGTATATCATACACAATCGAATCGCAATTCCAAACAATTCTGCTATAAACTGAGGAGTAGCACCTGTCTCCATCTTTTGCAGAATTTGCACTTTTTGTATTACCGTCAATGCAACGTGTTTACGTTTTTCAACGTTCCAAGCAGTAAAATCATGAGTGCGTTTCTTATCTGTCATTGTATTAAAAAGGGCTGAAATTTAAAATATTCTTAATTTATCCACAAAATATCCGGATAATAAAAGGCACCACTAAATAATCTCGTGAAATAACAAAGCTCAGAAAGTATAACGTGAATCGTGAATTTGAAAGAAGAGTTGAGTGAATCGTCTGCTTTCTTACTAATTAATCCTCTACTGCAATTACTTAATCCTCTAATGCAAATTAGCGGTGAAAAAAACTTTTATTATGATGTCAATAATTTGGTATTTCTGTTATGACTCATTATTATTCGGTAATTATAACATCATTATTCAGTAAGTATTTTTTTCTTCGATATTTTACACTCAATGTTGCGGTTTCCAGAACCTATAAACTGAATGTTTATATTCCGTTATCCTCTAATGCAAATTAGCGGTGAAAAAAACTTTTATTATGATGTCAATAATTTGGTATTTCTGTTATGACTCATTATTATTCTGTAATTATGACGTCATTATTCAGTAAGTATTTTTTTCTTTGATATTTCGCACTCAATGTTGCGGTTTCCAGAACCTATAAACTGAATGTTTATATTCCGAGAGACAACGTGGATTTCAGGAGTTGGTGGATTTTTGGTATTTGACTGTATAAACATTGTGGCGTGTCTGATTTATATCCAATTCCTTTTTTTATTCTATTTTTTCCTCTGAAATGTACGGTCTTTTAGGGGGCTCTATTACATTTTGCATTGCCCCCAGACATATTTTGGTTCTTCTCCTTTTATTTCGGAAAGCCTCGCCCCCAGTCTATTATGGCGTGAAGGCGCTATTTTTCAAAACAAGAATAAAGTCGTATGGTTAATGAAACATTTACTAACACAGATGAGAGTGGTGATTCATTTTCTGAAGAGTTAGAATGTGATATATTTCTAAGCGTTAAAAAATGATACTTCTCCATGCTTCGAGACTTACTACACTCAGTCTTCATTTTAAATTCTGTTACTTCTTACTGTTAAATAGTCTTTATTGTATTTTTTTATTAATTTTAAACTTTATTGATGATTCTATCAATTAAAACTTTGGAATAATTTGAATAGAGCTCCTGAAAATTATTTTACAAGAAAAGCAATATTTTTAATATATTTTCATGTAAAATAAAGAAAAAAGGTTATTAAATTCTAATTTTAACAAATATAAGAGCTCAAGTAATAATCTAAAATGATACCAAAAATTATGATGCTAGAAGTTAAACTTTTTTTTCTGATTTTTTTAAATAAAATTAGGCTTAGCGATGCAAAACTGCCTTCGATTCCCTTTGTCCTGCACGAGCGTCTTAAACAAAGGAGCGCCATCGAGAAACGGTTAAAAAGGAAAACAAACTGATAGTCAGATTCCTTGTAAAATTTGTGCTATACATGAACAAAAGTGCTGGTCCTGGTGACATAGCTTAAAGGTGGTTCAGAAATTTAAGCTTGAAAATTTCAGCATTGAAAATAATGCCAGCTCTGAATAGTTTTAGGACAGTTGTCTACCCTATGTAAGCAAGGACTATTAAAAGACACTATTGCTGAAACACCACCACAATGCAGTTGAGGAACTATTAGACAGACTACATGCTTAAAAAGTATGGTACATCACCATTTGTAGAAAATATGGTACGTAAACTGCTTCGATGTATGGGTACCCCATATCTTAAAACAGCATATATGCTTACTTGAGGTTCGCCATGTATTATTTGTTGAAAAGAAATAAAGCTTCTTTTCTAACGGGTCATTACTGGAGTAGAGAAGTGGTGCAATAATGTTACAAGAAAAAAACTCGGTTAGTAGAATCCCCTTTAGTACCATCAAGAGGGGCTTTCATATGGTCAGACTATAAATAAATTTTATATTAGGAGTTGCTGTCACTAAATCAGATTATAAACTTGGAAAGATACTGTTTTCAAATGGCAGTTTTAAAAGCAGAAATTGAAGCAAAGCCCCCAGAACTGCCTAATTGTTGAGATGTTATCTTCATTCACGATAATGCTCGACTTCACATTTTGATAAATGTCAGACAAGAACTTACTGAATATAGCTGAGATGTTTTGTGTCACCCTCTATATTCACTAGACCTTGCATCTTTGGATTTTAATCTCTTCTGGACACATCAAAATTCTTTGATTGGCATGGAGTTCATTTCTTTAGAGACTGATAAATACCATCTCTATAACGTTTTTTTGAAAAAACCTAATGATGTTTTTAAAAAAGGAATTTTTTAGCTGCTGAAGAGATGGAAAAAAATCATACAACAAATTGATGGTTATGTGATTTTTTGAATTTTTTTATGTTTTTTGTACTGCTTCATTTTGCAAAAAAACCACAGAATTTTCTGGATGAATCTTTACAATTAAAAAAAATTTCTGCATTTACACTGTGAATTAACACTGGATAATATATGATTATTTTAATTTTCTTGATACATATTCTTAGTTATAAATAAAATCAACACTACAATAAAATAGCAATAACACTACAATAACATTGCTTATCAATGATACATAAATGAAAGAATGAATTGTAAAATTTTAAAAAATTCTGAACTTAAAGATTTGTGTGCTTAAAAAACATGTACTTTACCCATTGTTGTAGTAGTTGAAGTCGTAGGTGCACTCACAAGTCTCACATAGTGAAATTTACTTCCTGGAACTTGCAAAGCTGTTTGAGGTGCAGGTCCAGAAGATACAGGTACAGTAGTTTGCTGTATAGGTGTAACAGCTGAACTAGCAACACTTGTGAAAGTGCCAGATATTGAGTTTGTATTGCTTCCACTAATTAACGGTTTCAAAACAGTCTGCATAAATAAAAAATATTATTTAAATTAAAATCACACAAATTCATTATCAATGATTTTCAAATATTACTTTAGAGTAGGGATCTTCAACCTTTCTCGCTTGAGAGCCACATCAATAAATTCCACATCAATAAATTCACAAAGATCCGCGGGCCACATGTCTGTCAAAAAGTAGTGCAGTAAAAAAAATTTGTATGAAAAAGGGGAGGTTTGTTTTGCAAGATTACAACTGATTTTAAGCAAAGAGACAGTGTTACATATTTGTAAATATATACTGGTTCCCAAAAGTCAAATGGAAATCGAAATAAAATCTTTTGCAACATTTTTAACTATGAAAAAAATATAAAGATGATTGTACAGAACGATTTTACATAATGCATTTAGAATAAAAAAACTTACATTACTAGTGGGAGATTGTAATTACTTTAATTTTAATGTGAAATTTGACAATATTTTTGCTTGATTAAAGCTTCAATATCATGTTTAACCTGTGTTGTTGCAATTCGTAAAGTTTCCTTCAAATGTCTGTCTGTCAAATCGTGTTCTTGTTTTTGATTTTAGGATTTTCATTTTATTAAAACGTTGTTGACATATGTAGGTACTGCTAAAGTTAGAGAAAACATGAAGAGTGCATGTTATCAAATTCTTGGATACTTTTCTTTGGTCACCGTACTTGGAATAAAAATCAATTAATGCTGGATTTTCAAGAAACTTGCATGTTACTGCAGTTACACTATAAATCTATCAATTCTGTGACGTCGTGGATGCTTCAGTGGGAACGGAATCAACACTGGTAGTGGTGATGCATCACTTTAATTCACACAACATAACACAGATACAACATTTAATTAATACATTTAGAAAACTATAGTAGATATCCGGGCTGGTGACACGATCAGAGACGTTAATGAAGATGGCACTCGTCATCACTCGACGAACAAAGTCCCCACACCTCAGCTCGCTGGCGGAGCTTCCCAAAACTCTCTCTGACAGGCGTCTCACAGAAGTCTCTTCTCCTCTTTGCACATGCGCATTACTCAGTTACGTCGTTGCCATTCACAGTTCTTTAAAATAGGTATTAAAATGAATTATAGTACTCGTAGTGCTAACGAAGTTCTCTCTATTCGAGAACATCATAGGTCTTTCTAGCAGAAAGTTCAGGAGTGTTCTTTACAGACTAACTCCTTCCGCCTCCAGATTTTGTTTTCCTCGGACACAGAGGAAGTAAAACTTTCAGCCTCCAGTTTTTGTTTCTCCGGACACAGGAGAAGTAAAACTTTTTTTTTTTTTTTTTTCTTTTTTTCTTTTTTAAGTTCACAGTTTCTGGTTTCAATATGATTGTTCAACATTTTACCAGTTAATTTTAAACCACACTTTTACAAAGGCTCTCCACTCTCATTACCAGGCCATCATAAAAAGAACACATTTAAAAATACACATACAATATATGAAAAACCAAAACAAAAATTTTTGTCTTTAAGAATAAAGCTAACAATTTACTATATAGTATGAATTTTTTTAAAAAAAATACAATATACATAATGAAATAACAAGACAACTTAAAAGAAATAACTAGTCTATTTAACTGGCATGTACAGAGTTTCTACTTAAGCAGTCTACATTTAAGTTGTCACTTCCCTTTTTATGATGTATCGTAAAATTATAAGATTGTAAGGCTAAGGCCCAGCGTAATAATCGACCATTTCTACCTGCATTATTTTTTTAGCCATACTAGGGGATTATGGTCCGTTTGAATGGAAAATTTAGTCTGCCCATCTATATACCCTTTCAATTTTTTTATTCCATACAGAATTGCGGCACACTCTTTTTCAGTGGTGGAATACTTCCGCTCACTATCAGTAAATATTTTACTGAGGATACAATATGGGATGTTCTTTTCCTTTATCATCCTTCTGGACTAAAACAACAGCATATCCTTGATCTGATGTGTCTGCCTGTAGTATAAATGGTTTAGAAAAATCGGGTGCATGTAGCACAGGCCTACTAGACAGCTTTTCTTTTAACGATTTGAATGATTCATTACATTCATCATTCCAAACAATTTTACCCTTTTTGTTATTCCCTTTTAGCAAATCTGTCAAAGGTGTGGCTATAGCAGAAAACATAGGTATATATTGTCTGTAGTATCCAGCTAACTCTAAAAAAGCTCTAATCTCAGTTTTAGTTGTGGGAACAGGAAAATTTTGAACCGCTTCGATTTTTAGTTCTGCTGGAGAACGTTTTCCTCGACCTACTATGTGACCGAGATATTGCACTTCTTCTTGTGCAAACTTGCACTTAGAGGGTTTAATAGTTAAATTGGCTTTTCTTATTCTTTCTAAAATTTCATGTAAATGTTGTAAATGGTTCCTCCCACGTTTCAGAAAAAATAGCAATATCATCTAAATAAGGGGTAGCATTATTTCTCACATCTGCACAATATTTCGCTCATCATTTTACTGAAATAATAAGGAGCATTTTTAAGCCCAAATGGCATGCGCAAAGGCCTATATACACCAAAATTTGTAGCAAATGCAGCAATTTTCTGCTGCGCTCCTAGGGGTCAGCGGAATTTGCCAGTAACCTTTAGTTAAGTCTATCAAAGGTGATAAATTTGGCTGCTGCAACAGTTTCAACACGTTGCTCTATATTGAGGGAATTGGGTAGAACTCAGTACACGCGTTATTTTGTTTAACTTTCTGTAATCAATACATGGCCTCTAGGATCCATACCTGGTGCTTCAACAAGGATCATGGGGTGAAGTATACTCAGAGGGTCCTGGTTCAATAATCTTTGTATTTTAACATTTTTTTTCAATCTCGACTTTAAGAAATTTCATTCTGTCGATTTGTCATTCTATAAGGCTTGTGCTGTATGCGTTTGTCACTGATTAGTTCGATATCATGTTCGAACTAAATTTGTTTTCCTGGAATATTCGAAAATATAGCAGAAAACTTTACCAACAACTTTCCCCAACTGCAGGATTTGTTCATCACTAAGTCTTTCTTTAAGATTATCTTTTGCTATTATTTCATTAAAATCAAACACATTGTGGGTCGGTTAACATATAAGGAAATCCTCCTCTAATTCCGAGGGTTCAACTTATCTCCTCGTTGTCAAGGAGCACCATATTCAAAAGTTCAGGTCTCTTATGATAAGGTTTTAACATATTGATGTGATACACTTTATTCGCCTTCCTGATTCCCTTCAAAACTAACCACATAGTTTGTTTCTGATAATCTTTTCTCTATTTTTCCTGGACCTTTCCATTGAGGAGCGAGTTTATGTGGGTTGGTTCACTGCTAATACTAATACTGGAATCTCCTTGGCTGGAATTCCCTTTTTACGGCATTTTTGTCATACCATTTCTTCCTTTTGTCTCTCACCTCTCTCCATTTCTCTTTCTCTGTAGCTAATTCTTTACTTTTCTTTAGCCTATTGATTAATTCGAAAACATATTCTATTACGGTATCTTCTTTTTCCTGAGGATCTAACCATTTCTCATACAATAATGCGACAGGTGTTCTGAGGTTGGTCCCGTACACTAATTCAGCTGGACTAAAACCTATACTATCATGCGTTACTGTCCGCAGAGCAAAGAGAGCGGCAGGTACTTGTACATTCCCAGTTTGGGGCAGCTTCAATACATAATACCTTTAAGACCCTTTTTATTGACCTATGGAAACCGTTCCACAGGATTGCTCTGGGGGGTGGTAAACCGAACTTCTGGAAATTTTTATACCAAACCTCTTCAAAAAATTCAACGGTTAAGCGACTCATAAAAGGATTTCCCTTGATCAGTTTGAACCTCCCTTGGAAAGCCCATCCGACTAAATACCTGCAAGAAGTGCACTTTACAACAGATTTTGACGTTATATCCGGTACCGGGACGGCATCAGGATATTTAGATGGCTAAGCACATTAACTGTAATAAGATATTTCACCATTTTATTATATTACTGTAATAAGATTTTCAGTAGATGTAGGCATAGGCCCGCAAGCATCTGCATTAACCTTACTAAAGACTTCAGATATCACAGGTACAGTTACCAACGGTGCTTTCTTTTTGTCACTTGCTTTTCCTTTCCTACACGTTGACAAGAGTCGCATGTTTTAACGAATTCCTCAATGTCTTTATAACAATTTGGCCAGAAAAAATGTCTTAGTAACCGGTCTTTTGTTTTCAGAACTGAAGTTCCAACAAGTAACAAGTGACCTGAAGTTCCTTCATGACAAATTGCTTTAATTTGCTCTCTGAGGTTTTCTGGAACAACAATTAAATGTTCTTCTCCTCCTAACTTATTTACCTTTCTTTTTTACTAAAACCCCATTTTTAATTCCATAACTTTGTTTTACTTCCGCTTTTTACTAGTTCTAATAAAGGCGGCAAGTTCTTTACTTTTTTGTTGTTCATCAATAAAAGTACTTGAGTCCTATTTGAATCGCAGGACTTGTTGGGGACACAAAGGTCGACAGGAGGCAATATCTCTCTGTTTTCAGACTTCTCATGAGCATCGTCCTCCTCTTCCAATTCTAACTCATTCTGCTCAGAATTTTGATTCGTCTCACTTAAATTTTCCGCTTCCTTAAATTGTCGTGCTTGAGATCGAGTAACGACCGCATTAACATTCCCGACATACGAAGAATAATTTTTCTCAGTTCCTCTGAGAAGAGCCGCTGTTTGGTTGCCTAATATATATCGCCCTTGGTCTAAGTGGTCTCCTATAACAGCTGCTTTGGTGGTTACTGTACCCAAATCGCATTCAATATCTACTTCAGCAACAGGTAAACAAGTCATATGATCATCCAGCAAATGTTCGAACCCACACGTGCTTCTCCCTTCATTCTATCTCTGTTCTACATATTTCTGACAAATAATATCTACCGTTGCTCCTGTATCTCTTAGAATAAGTACTTCAAAACTATTCACTCTTCCATTTAACGTATAGGGATCTAACAGATTCTTTTCTGATCTCCCGCTTATCCGATACAAATCTGCC